TTTTTTATAGTAAGAAGACAAGGATTTTCCAAAGTATTCAAATTTTAAATCGATATTCTAAAAATGCATAAATATCATTCTATTCCACCCTCCACTCGAAACGACACGACTCAATCGGAGCTGAGTTCTAAGCGTTGAGCCACAGCTCAAACTCAAGTGCCGAGTTATGCCGTCTGATGAGCGTTCGACTGTGAACCGGTATGGAGCGGCGTGTCGCGGCGTGAACTCGGGTCAAGCGGCAAGCCGAGGCTGAGCTCGCGCTCACCCAAGTTGTGGCTGAATCCCCGGTTGAATTTCTACCCGGGAAGTCTTTTTCCATCCTAACGTCCTTTATTTTGAGAGGAATGAGAGTGACAATTCAAGTCTTAAATCACAAATGATGGTGGATCCGTCAGCAAGGATACGTATCTTGGAACTTCTTCCAAATCATGGACTAGGAACTTCGTATAGAATTAAAACAGTGCCATTACCATGATTTGATCAATATGACTTCATTATAGTTGGTTTCCACCCTGGAGATTTACTAGTGGTGAATCGCCTATCAGGAAATAAAAATGGAAGGTTCTACTTCTGGGAACTGCAAAAACCGAAGGGCTCTTCCATCAAATACCGTTGCTTTCGGTTTCTTTTGTGAATTCGGAATATGACTGGTAAAAAAGGAATGCTTAGGCGTAATATATGTAATAGTACATTCTGTCATTAGGCGATAATAGTATATTTCTAACCTAGGGAGGGAAAATAAAGGATCCTCAGCCGTCAGTGCAATTACCAGCCGAGCCGAAGGCGAGGTTGGTAAGCACGCGGCTGAGGTTCCTTTATTTTACTTCCCGTGGTTAAAACGCGATTTTCCGTCTCGGCGTAGGCGCAAAGTCAGAGTTCCCTCCCGCGAAGCGGGAGGGAAATGTAACTTTGCGCCTGCCGGGACGGAATAGTAGATTGTGCACCAACGGAGGAAAATAACAGGACATTCTAACCCGCGTGTGGCTTCACACCTCGGCTTCGCATCGGGCAGTAAACACCCGGGTTTTGATGTCCTGTTTTCCTTCCTAGGTACACATACTCTTTTTCGTCATAACTGCATAGTATAGTTCGATTTTTCTTCATAAATGCAGGGAGGAACGTGGGTTATGTCATTCCGAGGATTGTCAAAAACAACAGAAATCCGAGGAATGGAATAAGCCGCATTGCTCCCGTCATTTGGGGAGGAAAATCGAACTTTCCGTGCAGATATGACGAAAAAGTATTATCTGACGAATGTGAGACGAGGATTACAATCTCATTCGTCAGGTAATACTTTTATGGCTGTATGACATACGATACTTTATATCATTGGGTCCGAAAACTGCGATCTGACCAAGCGAAGTGAGAATTATCGAAGTGGCAAAACATGTGGCAACTGTCCGAATATTTAGTGAATTCATAATCGACAAATATCTTAAGGATAAAACCGAAATCCGAATGCCCATTTTGATTTAATCTACATCGAATAAATTCTAAAATCATTCAGGTTATTATTCTTCTGAAATAATATCAACTTCACCCGAAAATATCGTTTTGAATACTATATCGGACTCGATACATTACAATTAAATTACTTGTAGACAAATTCAGAAAACAGATATTCACCAGAGTAAACCCGAACATTATTATTTAACATTACACCATTTTTGTTCATTCGAATTGCACTGGAATTTCAATTAGAATTAGAATAGAATAATTATTCTTGGAAATTCAGTTGTAGTTCGAAATCAAGTGGTTTCATTTTAGATTAAATTCTGAATAATCTGAATATACTAAATTATTAAAGAATAATTAAACATTGTTGATCATTGAAAATTTTCATATTTTTTTTATTTATTAGGATTCTTATTATTATTTTCTGAATTATCTTTCGAGTCAGCGAGATCGCTGAATTGTCGAGAAATGATTAGTTGTCATTATGAAACGAGTAATGACAGCAAAATTGAGTTTCAAAGAATGTGTTTCTACCTTTGCGAATAAAAATTGTTAGTTGAAGGAAAAAGTTGCATTCATATTCTATAAATGCGTGAAAATGAGTGAACCAATTTCGCTACTGCAATTTGTTTTTGTTCACCGAATCGCAGACATTTCGTAAATACAGTGGGATGATAAAAAAGCATTCAATCACCTGTGTTTTTTTTAACAGCACATCAATCCAATGACTTATCTTTACCTCAACTGGATAATTCAGAATCCGATTTACAATCGGCAACATCGTGAGGTAACATTCTGGCATTCTCTACCGTATCCCGGGGTAAGTCATAGACACTGAGATCCTTTTTTCCCATCTTCATGATGTTGATTTCTAGAAGAATGAGTGCGCAAGTTCAGATCGGGATTCTATTATTGCTGATGATGAACTTATCGTCAGGAATTAAAATTTTGGACCTTCTCGCTGATTACGGGCTTAGAAATACTTATGGAATCAAAACTGCACCATTCCCAAGATTTGCTGAATACGACTTCATTGTCGTTGGTTCCGGCCCTGGCGGTTCTCCAGTAGCCAATCGCTTATCAGAAAACCAAGACTGGAAGGTTTTGCTCCTAGAGGCGGGTAAACCGGAGGGGCTATTACATCAAATACCGATGCTGGCGGGTTCTTTCATAAATTCTGAATATGACTGGCAGTACCGAGTCGAATCTCAGAAAAAAGCGTGCTTAGGGATAATAGATCAACGGTGCACCTATCCAAAAGGCAAATCGTTGGGTGGTACGAGCTCCATAAATAGCATGGGTTACTCTAGAGGACATAAGTTTGATTTTGACCATTGGGCTGAGCAAGGAAATTATGGCTGGTCGTATGATGAAGTCCTACCATACTTTAAGAAAAGTGAAAACGCAAACCTCCGAGGTATGTACCATAGTATCAATAAACGTATTCATGTCCAAGCGATATAAATTAATTAAGGAAACAGGGATTTTGGAGAAATAAAACATTTTGATCCAATTGTCAGGGATGTGACGTTTCGCTAAGTATATTTTAGCTTCATCAGGTGCTTGATTCAATCAATCTTAGAATCTTAACTAATAGTCATGCTATTAGTTAGGATTCTCGTGTGGAAAAATGTCGCTTGTATCGTAAAAACTTAAATATAAAAATATAAACGATGTACAGTGGTTACTCCCTAACATTTAGGTTCCCTAACATTTCAGTCGGAGAGGTTGACTTCCCCCACCATCGACAACGTAAATGTGTTTGGGTAAATCTCTGTGTCCCTCTGCGCGATGGGACTGCGCAGTAAAATTACTCTCTGCGTGTAGGAATGAAACAGGCAGATTCTTTCTGTCTGTTTATCTTTTTCCTAGCTCCGCCTCCAACGGAAGAGTAAGGGCTTCCCGAACATTTAATTCCTTGAATTCTGGCCCCAGAGGCTGATATGTTAGGGAACAACCACTGTACAGCAATCACTGAACGAAGTTTACCCGCCAAAAACTCTGCAACGACGATATACTTATGATATAGTTAGCGAAATGTCGCATCCTTGACAATTAGATCATAGTGCTTTATTTCGCCAAAATTGCTGATTCCCGGATTAATGTATCATAGTATGTTTATAAGGACGAGTGCCAGGAGTTTTTTTCTTATGAAGCGTTGACGTCCGAGCCGAAGGCGAGGACTGGTCAATTGCACGAATTCAAAAACTCCATGGCACTAGTCATGAACGATAGTTTTCCCTAGTGATGTTCACTTTTACGAGTTTGGAGAAGGCCAATCTCCAGACGAGGAAAAGGAAAGAGCAGTACAGAAAAACTATTTTCAACATCATCACTCGAACATATGGTATCAATTTTCTTCACTCTAGAACCAGTGGATGAATCGTATCACGGCAGAAATGGATATTTACACGTACAAAATGCTCCATGGAATACCCCTCTCGCCACGGCTTTTTTAGAATCCGGGAAAGAACTGGGATATGATGTTATTGACTACAATGGACGACAACAGATTGGTTTTTCGTATGGCCAGCTGACAATGTTGAATGGTACACGATGTAGTGCTTCGAAAGCATATCTACGAATCAAACGATCCAACTTAGATATAATACCAGAGGCAAGGGTATCAAGGGTATTAGTCGATAACAATAATTATGCCTACGGTGTGGAATTTATAAAAAACAAGCAATCTTATCAAATCCATACTAGTAAAGAGGTCATTTTATCAGCTGGGGCAATTGACACACCGAAACTTTTGATGCTATCTGGAATCGGACCTGAAGAACATCTCAACGAATTGGGAATTAGAGTAGTAAAGAATGCTCAAGTAGGACATAATTTCTACGATCATGTAGGTTTTGCTGGGCTTACATTTTTGGTAAATCAAAGTGTCACGTTAATTGCAAACAAGATGCAAACACCGGAACCTGTACTCCAATATGCTATTCATGGAAGTGGTCCATATTCTGTAGCTGCTCTCAATGAAGCAGTGGCATTAACTCGCACAAAATATGCAACTGATGTTCGGCCAGATCTTGAATTGATGTTTCGTGCAGCAACATTCAACATGGATATCGATGGAAGGTCTGCAAAAGCCCGTCGTATAAATAAAAATATTTATGATACCGTTTGGAAACCGATAGTTGGTAAAGATGCTTTCACAATTTGGCCATTCGCACAACTTCCACGCAGTAAGGGACGGATCAAATTGAAATCATCTAACGTTAATGATGATCCAGTTATTGACCCTAATCTCTTAGACGATAACAGTGATGTGGAAATTCTTGTTGAAGGTATTAAATTGGCAATAGAGATATCGAAATCGAAAGCCTTCCGCCGATATGGCACCAAACTACATGATGTAAAAATTCCGGGATGTGAGTTACTAGAATTTGCCTCGGATGATTACTGGCGTTGTGCGATCCGACATCTAACGCTCGCCTTTAATCATGACATGGGTACTGCTAAAATGGGTCCCTCTTCTGATGCTGCTGCCATTGTTGATCCTGAATTGAGAGTGCATGGAGTCAAAGGACTGAGAGTCGTTGATGCTTCTATCATACCTGTCATGCCAGTAGGTCATTTGACAGCAACGATCTATATGATCGCTGAGAAAGGTGCTGATATGATCAAAAAATCATGGCAGAGTTAACAATAGTAGTAACAAACTAGGACATGGCAAATTTTATACCTAAAAATGCTAAGAACATTGAGGCCCTATCTGCGCAATTGTTTTTGGTAATAGAAATCGATAGCAAATATTTCGAGAAGGAACAGATCTGGTATGACAGTCAAAATGAAAAGTACGAAAATAACTGATCTGCATGGAACAATGTGTATGTCAATATGTTCATTGATGAGAGAAGGGAAAGGGACCGGGAGAGGGGAGTAGATTGACGGTGAGTCAAAGCCACGGAGATCCAGGAAGTGGATCTCATTGAAGGACATTGATCTCTACGGCTTTCGAATTCCTCGCAAATTTTGTCTAGATCTATGCAAAATTATGAAAGTCGATTGCGCACAGCAATAGAAGAAATAGGAAGGAAGGCACTGATGGCTGCAGTCTACGCTCGTTATAATTTTTTGTGGCATTAGTAACGCTAGAAAACTATATTTATATAGTAATAAAACACTTCCGTTGTCAATGTACTTTTCAACACAGTCGCTTATTTTTTTGGAAACTTGAAATGAGAATGAAAAATGAGAATGATATTTTGAGGGGCATAGTGTATTTCAGGTTAGCCTCTTGAATTTATTGTGATATTCATGTATTTTTGCAATTCTTATAAAGATTAAATATTTAGAAAAAAAGTCGCGATTTGACCATGATCTCATAGATGATGCTGTTTTTTCACCGTGTTCAATATTTCATAATTTTATCTCATAAAATCATATAATGTACATGAAAAGACACGCAATGTTCTTACAAATCACAATAGAAATGGAATCTAACCGGACATTAACCCTTAAGTGGTCGCGGAATGAGGGAATCCCTGCTATTCTTGTTTTTCCCTTTTTCCACAAAAACATCGTGAGTGAACAATTCACAAAAATTCGTATTCCTACTTTCAAATATATTGAATACAGTAACAATTTGTTTAGCTCAGACTTACACTAACTTGAAAATTTCAAAGATTTGCACCGAATGAAATCAAGTTCTTATCTAATCTGAGGACTGTTTCTTTTCTGTATTCCCATTTTCTACTTACTGAAGGTTCCAAATTATCCATAATTTTAGGCCTAGAAAGAATTCTTTATAAGAAGGTTTTTCATTTCTGTCAACAATCATCTTAAGAAATTCCATTCTCTAAGCCAATATGATCAAATACTCGTCAGCATCATTCTATAGGAATTCCCAAAGGGTGATTCATCATTTTTCATACATGTGGTGAGGGCATGTGCGATTATTGACTGATAATTCGTTTTTGAAATTTAAATCATTCTCAAATTTTTTTCACTTATCAGTGGTATAGAAAGAAGTTAATTATCAATTTTAGACCTCAGACTCAATTAGGAATAGGAAGATGTAAAAAAAAGATGGACAATTTTAAATCGAAAATAGGTGTAAACGAGTAGGTAGTGAGTTGAAATAAATAACTATAGGGGTGTATTTTGAAAAATATTGAGCAAAACAGTATCTTACAAAAAATTGAATATCCTCCAAACTAAACATTTTTTTCGGGTGTTATCGTGTAAACATTGATTGTATTATAAAAATGAAAAATGCCAATTATACATACATTTTCAAAAAACATTATATCTTCACATGTTATGACATTCTACTTCATTTCCAGACAAAAATAAAAGAACGTCTTTATTAACGATTACAAAGATTCCACCCGGAAGGAAAATAAATACCAGTTTCCATGACGAAAGACCAAAAAAATTGATTTTGAAAACGTCTAACTCGATTTTCAGCTATGAAGTAAGGTGTTGCTGGTCAAAAACTACTTGTTTTATCGGATAATTAAAATTTTTTCAGCAGACATTATGCATTTAAAATGTCGATGGAAATGAATTGTAGAAAAAATCGATTGCGCATATTCTCTTTCTGATTGACTTTGGGGTCAAAAAATTTAAGACAAACTCGTTTTATATATCAATGACAAGTGGTGGAATGTTGGGAATGATTGAAACTAAAAAATCGAATGATCAGTCGATAATTGTGGAAACCCGTTCTATGTAGGGAACATTTTGATCGATATAGTAGATCATGTATGTAGATGTGCTAAAGCGAATAAGGAACGGAGTGCAATTTCTTGTGTTCATTTTCACAAGTCACCATGCAGAACTTTGAAACCATGTTTTTTTTAAACTATATTTTACCATAATTGAAACTATTATATATTTTATTATTATTTCTGAATAAATCAAGAATACCCAGAAAACGAGACGCCGATCGATATTATGCCAAGGAGTTAATGTACGTGCAGACAAGCAAGAGTTGTTTTCTGTGCATTCATTGCTGCGATTTGTTTATTCTCACCGAGTTATAAATAAGAGATAAAACAAAGAATAACAAGTCAAGTCGAATAATTAAAACATATTAACTCACCTGTGTCATGCCTATCAATGCAATGATATATTCACACCGCAGCTGTATAACTAGTTCTTCAGTCAACCGTCCATAATATTCATGACTAACGTACTGAAGTTCTCATTCGTCTCCGGGGACAAATGAGAGACAGTCAAACAGTTTGTTTCTATTTAAACTACATTCGTCTGCTGCGCAATGGGAGTGATGATCTCAATATTATTCACATTCTTGCTGATAATGCATTTATCATCAGGAATACATATCTTGGAACTCCTTGCAGATTATGGGCTCAAAAATACTTATGGAATTGAAACCAGATTATTACCAAGATTTGCTGAATATGACTTCATTATCATTGGTTCCGGCCCTGGTGGTTCTCCAGTGGCCAATCGTCTATCAGAAAACAAAAACTGGAAAGTCTTGCTTCTGGAGGCTGGCAAACCGGAGGGAATCTTGCATCAGGTGCCAATGCTTGCGAATCATTTCTTAAACTCTGAATATGACTGGCAATACAGAACGGAGCCTCAGAAAAAAGCCTGCTTAGGGAGAATAGATCAAAGATGTGGCTATCCAAAAGGGAAGGCGTTAGGCGGGTCGAGCTCCATAAATGGAATGGGTTATTCCAGGGGAAATAAGCTAGATTTCGACCGTTGGGCTAAGCAGGGAAATTATGGCTGGTCATACAAGGAAGTGCTACCGTATTTTCGGAAAAGTGAGCGTGCACAACTACGAGGTATGTGAGAAGCTATTTTTCAATATTATCACTTGTGTGCAATTACTTTTCTATTCCACAGAACCAGTCGATGAATCATATCATGGAAAAAATGGATATGTACATGTACAAAATGCTCCATGCCACAGCGCTCTTGCAGCAGCTTTTCTGGAGTCTGGAAAAGAGATGGGATTCGATGTTATTGACTACAATGGTCGGCAACAGATTGGTTTTTCGTATCATCACTTGACAATGTTGAATGGTACGCGGTGTAGTGCTTCAAAAGCATATCTACGGGTCAAACGTGAAAACTTAGATATTGTAACAGAAGCAAGGGTGTCAAGGATTTTGATTGACATTGATCATCGTGTCTACGGGGTGGAATTTGTGAAAAGTAATAAATCATATAGGATAAATGTCAGCAAAGAGGTGATTTTATCAGCTGGCACGATCGACACGCCGAAACTTTTGATGCTATCTGGAATTGGACCCAAAGAGCATCTTGACGAATTAGGAATTAAAGTGATAAAGAATGCTAAAGTTGGATACAATTTTCAGGATCATGTGGGTTTTGTCGGCTTAACATTCTTGGTGAACCAGAGTGTCAGTCTAATTCCGAAAAACATGCAGAGACCGGAAATTGTACTCCAGTATGCCATTAAAGGAACTGGACCATATTCAATAAGTTCTGCCAGCGAAGCACTTGCATTTTCTTACACGAAGTATGCAACGGATGATCGACCAGATCTTGAATTACTTTTCCGCGCAGCTGCAACGGAGCCCAGCATGGAAAAAGATACCTACACAATCATTCCAGCTGCCCAAATGACTCGTAGTAAAGGACGATTGAAATTGAGATCAAACAATTTTGAAGATCATCCCGTAATTGATGCTAATCTCTTGGATGACGGAAATGATGTGGAAATTCTCGTCGAAGGTATTAAACTCGCAATAGAGGTATCCAAATCCGAAGCTTTCCAACGATATGGCAGTCAACTATATGATATAAATATTTCTGCATGTGAGGAATTTAAATTTGCTTTTGACGACTACTGGCGATGCGCAATTCGGCATATGGCAATCCCCTTCAGTCATGAAATGGGTACTGCTAAAATGGGACCATCCACGGACTCTGATGCCGTTGTTGATCCTGAGTTGAGAGTATATGGAGTTAAAGGACTAAGGATTATTGATGCATCCATTATGCCAGATATACCAGTGGGTCATTTGGCAGCAACAATTTACATGATTGCTGAAAAAGGCGCTGATATGATTAAACAATCATGGTAGATTCTTCACTCATATAATCAATTTTCCCTTCGCACATTAGCTATTATTATTAGATTGACTCCTATGAGTGATAATGAATTGTTTTTCAATCCAACGATGAACTATTACCTTCGGAAAAGGCGGAGATTATCCTAATGTGAAGTAAGAGGGAGTGGCACATATCAACGCGAAGTACAGGGGAGGGGGCGAGTAATTTAATTATGAGTTTGAACACTACTGTCGGTGTCAAAAGTAGAGACCACTCGAAATAAACGTCTATAAGTCAGTGAAAAAAAATCGTAAAAATATGAGACCAAATACACTGTGTAATAAAAGTATTTCGCTTGCCCAATACGGAGTTTCAAGTTTTTAATTTGATTAGTTTATTTATAATCGCTGTGAGAAGCCGAAAACCCCCCCGATTTTCAGGGTCCGTAAAAGTCGGCAAACTTTGAACCGCTAGCAAACGTACGAAAATTTTTTTTTTTAAATCGTCAATTTTTTCAGAGATTCGTATAACACCTGAGAAGCCAACCAGGGAAGAAAAAGATCGAAATTGCGATAATTATTCATTTTATTCATAGAAATGTCGACTGCGGCTATTTCGTTGTAGAATTGCTGAGCCGACCTGAAAAAAAAACAATGCATTTTGAGTTCAATGTAAAACACATTCGGTCAATAGTTTTTCAATAGACAATCTCCGTTGATTTTTAAAAAAATCAAGAAAATTTGTCAAAAAAAGTGCTGTTAAAACGATCATAACTCGTTATGGGGTTTATGGGCCCGCTCACCGCCAGTCCCTCAAAATTAAAAACACATGTGCGCCCGGCTACCTTTTTCAGGGGCGTCGATACCAGTTTCAGCCGTTTGGGCCCTTTGGGGCGCCAATATACTGTACATTGCTACTTTCCCATTAAAACAAAAATACGAACACGAATATTTTTCTTTTTAATAATTGTATCATTAATTATACGTACTAATGGGTTTCATCAATATTAATCATTTGAAACATGTGGCTACAATTAATTATTATTTGTTATTTTTAAATATAAACTCATCCACTGCTCTTAGCATTACCCAGGGTCAACGACGGGGACGTGGCAGTGGTCATGACCCCAAAAATAAATTATTTCCTATATTCGGTCCCAAAATTTTGGAACGAATACTGGAATATCATTCAATTCTTATTCAAAAATTTGCTGTTGTAATGAATTTGAAGTTCATTTTGCAGAACTCATTGATACTTGAATGATCGTATTAATGAGTGATAGTGGTTAATAATAATAATAAGAATACGCTAATGAATTCAATCTATGGGCGAATTCGCCAAATATTGGTATGGTTTTGTACCTTAAAAATTTTAATTTCGTTGAGGCTTTTCACATGGTTTTTCTTATTATTAGGAAGATCCGCAGGGATTTTTTTTTTTCAATTTTTTCCAGTTTTGATATGCTGACTACATCAATTTTTCTATTCCTTGAGTATTTGACGAAATTTTTAGTGTCAGTAGTTATCAATTTTTTAATGGAAGATTTCAAAAATTGAAATAGTTAAAAAAATATATTTTCTAAAATCAATTTTGGACAGAAAGGATCGGAGTGCCACTTTGATTTCTCAGTATGTTTTGTAAAAAAGATCACTTTGGGTAAGGAGAAAAGAAAATCTGCAATCATGGTTGGGGAAGACGGTACAAAGTGCAATTTGGTTCTTTTTGGCATTTTTAAAGCATTTCCGATGGTGTGAGCTAATTGAAACCATACTCAATTGGAAGAACTGTAAATTTCTATCGGAAGCACATTTCAGAAAATGTGGAAAAAATTTATCTCTACTGAAACCAAAAATTTCGTCAAAAAAATCAAGAAACAGAAGAATTGACGTAATGAGTAACAAAACTGGAGAAAAAATGAAAAAAAAGGATTTGG